AAATGTTTTGAGAATGATGAGGGCAATGAATGTACAAATGCACTTTACACAATTGATGTATGTATGGATTGTGATAAGAGTTGTATGAGGCCCTAATAAAATGATTTTTTTTAAATGCCATGGCTTGGGATAGTCACACCTTGGTCCTCAAAGTAATGCCCTTGCTTTTCAATACTCTAAAGAGGTCTTGTGCAGCAGATTGACCAATGCAATGCATCCTTTGAACACTTACTTGACAGCTGCTTCTATGAGCATTGATTGTGGAGCCCAGAAAGAAAAAAATCCCTAACAACGTCAACCTTTTCTCCATTCATCATGATGTTACCTCGTGGTCCAGTTGTAAGGATTTGGGTCTTCTTTACACTGTTGGAAGTCAAAAATTGTATATTTGGCATTCTATATTTGAGATGCCTATAGACATCCAGGTAGCACTATCAAGTAAGGTGTTGATGTATGAGTATGAAGCTGAGGGAAAAGATTAGGAGCTAGAGATACAAATCCACTACACACTAGCACATCCAGTTACCATGGAAGGGATTCCAGCTATGATGATCCCACACGTGTCAGAGGAGAACTGATCACCATAGGGTCCTCATTTGCTGATTTTTTAGAAGTAGATTTCTTGGGTGGACTTGAACCTCCAACCTTTTGGTTAGTAGCCAAGCACATTAACCATTTGCACCACCGTAGGATGCCCATCATTGGCATTAGATGGTATTGAAAGCCAATAGATTTCTGTAATCGTGGAAGGAGTGGATTTGCATAGAAAAGACTTCCAGACACAAAACCTGAAGCATACAACAAGGTCAGGGTGAAGAGAGAAGTGGCAAGCTAAGAGACTGAGGAGTGGTCATTGATGTGACCCGTACCAAAACAGAACAGGAGAATCTGTCAATGATGAACAGAGAAGTCCTTCCCTTGAGGATGGAATGGGTAACGATGTCAAATGCTGCTGAGCATTCAAGTGAAATGAGTCTAGAAAATCAACGGTTGGATATGACATGTTGGTGTGCAGGGCCCACTGGAGACTTTTCCAGGGAATAGTGGCAACAAAGCCCTGATGGAAGACTGGAGTGGTTTAAAAACCAAGAATCTCTGTGAGATGACAGTTTGCTCATAACAGCTTGATTTTAATTTCGTTTAAGTAGACTGATGTGGCTCTATTAAGCAAAGCCGTTAAAAAAAAAAAGACAGGAAGGAAGGAAAGAACAGCCATTAGGGGGCAGACAAGTTTATTACCCGGACCCTTCGCCTAGCGAGGTTTCAGAAAAAGGATAGGATTTGAAGATGGATAAAGTGATGAAGGTGGTTTCTTAAGGGATGAGAAACAGAAAACCTCTCCAGAACCAGGGTTACACGGCAGCGTGGGGGAGGACTTGAGTCTGGATTGAGGAGACAACACAACAAAGTGCAGAAAGACATCCGACCCCTCCGTAAGTCTTTGTTCCCACAATCGCCTGATCATCTTATGTACAATTATCATAAACTGGTCCTGTGTCATCGTAAGGCTCTCTGGATGGTTGACTACATAGTCAGGGCTATTGTGTCTCTCCTTTTCACTGACCGTCTCCACATGATGTCCTTTTTGGCGATTAGTCTTTGCTAACGATGTGTCTCAAGCCAGGAGTTTTGTCATCTTTACGAAGGCGCATTCTGGCCTGTCTACAGCTGATTTGTGGATTCTGCTGGCAGTCCTGGGAACTCTACCAACACCCAAGTTCAAGTGCTCTCACTCCGCTGCTGTTGGTTGTTTCCCCCTGACCAGCTCTCACATGCTTATGAGGCGATGGAAAATACCAGGGCTTGGGTCAGGCCCACCTTCATCATCAAAGGGCTGTCTTGGCTTTTCAAATTTTAAAGAGGTCCTTTGCAGCAGATTTGCCCCCTGCAGTACATCACATGATTTTTTTTGGACTGATGTCTCCATATTTGCATATTACATTTCATTGTGATTTCCAGGAGGCATTTCATTTTTTAAAATATTTCAATAAAGCAACAGAGCTTCAATAGCCTTGGCCTCTGATATTTTAAACTAAAATCAGCAACGAAAAATTTAATTCATACTCTTTGGAAATCTAATGGTTGGAGCTTTAACTAGAATATAGATGAAAAGAAAAAGTGCGAGGCTTATAAGTTGAGGGTCTATTACAGGTTACTGTATGGGAATGCTATCATGTACAACTATAAAATGAAAGACATGAATTTTCTTTTATTGTTCTGGAATAAAGTAATTAAAATATTAAGGTTTTCCAGCTTTTTCCCCCGTCATCTCTTAGCAAAGGGATTATTAGTGTCTGACTCATTTTCTTGGCAACCTCAAACCCACATAATAACTGGCCTAGTAAGTTGATCAAAGCTTTCTCTGAGTCAGCTTTACAAGAGTGAACTCTTGTATGTTAGATTATGGTGAAATTTTGCAGCAGGGCCAATTATAACCCCTCAACTGAGGGAAATTGGAGCGATGGCTTTGTGTTCTTCACAAATACCTGTGAGATCAGTCAATCCGACTCTGCTCGTGTTTCCCTTAGGTCCCGGAAGAAAACGTGGAATGAAATGAAAAGTCAGTGATCAGGGGCCTTTGCCACCATTGGAGGTAAGTGTGTTTCACCTTTGTCCCCATCAGATTTACAGGGAAGTTCTAAGGCACCTGTGAACCTACTCTCTACCAATTGGTAAAATGACAGGAGGCTGGGAGGCCTGATGGGACTTTTGCCAGGTGTCACCCACCCATGGTTTTCAAGGATGACTCACAGGTACAGCATAACACAGTAAGCTCAAATGCCCTGCCCTCTCACCCATGCTCAAAATCCCCTGTGCTTCCCCTGCCCTGGCTAGGCCATACAATGAAATCCCCACTGAGACGGTGATTTTCGCTTGCTGATTTAGTAGCATAATCCAAGCCACAGTTTCAGGAGGTGAAAGACAAAGAGGTAGCAAAGGATTGGTGGAATGGATATTTGACTTAGCCAATGCAGGGATTCATTTGGAGAATATAAGTATTTGTGAAGTAACTCTCTGTGTCAAACATGATGTTCTTAACACGTGCTGTCCTTAATGCATAATGTCCTTAAAACAGGGTGTCAGTGGGGGGCGGGGACTCTCCACAGAATGGATTAACACAGTAGGAGCAACAATAGGCTCCAACATAGGAACCATTGTGAAGGACGTCACAGGATCCAACAGTCATTTGTTCTGTTGTGCACTGTGCTTTCCTTTGCTGTACGCACTATAAGTTGGAACCGACCGTGTGGCATCTAACAATATACCATGTGCCAGGACTGTGCTAAGACTGGGGGGACTGTGGTCAACAAGAAGGCCAGGGTTCCATCACATCAGAAACGTGACTCACACAGCATGCCCTGACCCAGGGATCTAGCAACCAATAAGAGAATTGGCGGCTAGCATCAATACCTAGTTAAGCCCAGTGCTTTCAAACCACAAAATAGGTTCCTAGTTGTCTTAGTCTATAAACTCCTGACTACTTTTGTCCATTTCTAGATTAAGTACATTTCATTTCAAGTCAATAATCCAATTGAAAATTGAACAGCGCTTGGCTTCACCAGCCAAGGGGTACAAATGAGGTTCCATGACCACTAAGCAGCTAACAGCAACCGCAACACGAACTGGGTGGCAGTACTGATGACTGACTAGTACTCATGGCATGATGTACAGTACCACTGGCATCTTGTTTTCCCCTGTGACAACCTCGCATGGTCCGTCTCATCGCTGCTGTGCCACAGAGCAAAATGAGAAGCAGGGAGGCTCTGTGACTGGCCTGGCAGGGTACAGGGAGTTGACCCTGAATTATATCAAAAATATTGTTCACCGTGCCTTTGTAAGATCCCAGTGGCACGCTTGAAGCTATTTTTTCCTAAATTCCAACTTACAGACATGCCTGTAAGTTCCAACGTACTTCCCCTTCTGCGTGAGAAAATGGATCAGATGAAAGCAAATAGTTGGGATCCCACAGTATGAACCAAATGAGCTGCCCATCAGGTTGGAACCGTGCTGAATAATGCCTCCTGCCACCGCGGAGGGGACGCCGGCCTCATCAACAGAGGCACCACGGAGCCCCGACTTCAGAGTGGGACGCGTGTGAGGGCCTGTGCAAATGCAGTGGCTCGGACCAGGGGCGGCGGGGGTGCGGTTGTGGAATGTGAAGAAGAAAGCAAAGACAACAGTGGCCGCAGTAGGAAAACACTGAGGGGAGACCCAGATGAACTTCACTTCCAGCTTGATAAACTTGGAAAGACTAGACACAAGGATCTCATTCCCCTTTTCAATGTCGGCTCGCATCGTGTGGACCTCAAACCTGCCTCCCGCGGCGCATCCGTGGCACAGCGCCAAAGAAAAGAAAACTGCAGAGCGGCCCTTTTCTCAGGAGATTTCCCAAGGCCTTACACCTAAAGCCGCCATCCCGAGTGCAGTGGCTGTCCGCGCCTCGCCGCCTGGGCCTGGATGGGAAGAGTGTGGATGTCACCTCTGGGGGTGGGACTTCACAGGCCACCTTCTAGCTCTGGTCCTCAGAGAGTTTCCACCCACCTTTCTCCCACCCTTGCTAGTGGATGCTTGTGATTCCTCCAACAAAGGACGAAGCAGGTAGACGTGTTAAAGTCCAGCCCCCCGTGGGCGATCAAGTGTTGATGGAACCCCTAAGGCGTAAAAGGAAAGAGAGAAAAAATCAGTCATAGCTCAGGAGCCCCGGGGCATCATGGCGCCATCAGGGTAAACGTGCACTCCCTCAGGTTTCCAATGGCTAAGTTCAGACGTTTCTCCTGAGGTACTCTAGCATAGACTGCAGCCTCCATCCTCAGTTAACAGCTGAGCCCATTAACCATCGCACCCAGGGACTCCTATTAAGGCTCCTGTACCTGATAATACCTGATAAATACTCATTTACCTGACAACAGACACCCAGCACCCCACCCCTGAGAGTGGGCTTTCACCAGGGGCGCCCAGAAAGAGTGAGTCCAGGAATGGCCAAGGAATTCAGATGACTGGCAGAGTCTCCATGGATTACTGCAGATAGTCAGGTTAAAACTAAAATGTCATCACTGGTTTTCCCTATTGACCCATTTTATTTATTCATTTATGTTTGTTTTTATTTATTTTGCAACATTTTATTGAGGGCTCTTACAGCTCTTGTAACAATCCATACATCAATTGCATCAAGTATATTTGTACATATGTTGCCATCATTATTTTCTAGATATTTACTTTCTATTGAGCCCTTGGTGTCAGCTCCTCTTTTCCCCCTCTTCCTCCCCGCCCCCCCCACCCTCGTGGCCCCTTGATATATTATAAATTATTATTATATTCATATCTTACACCCACCACTATCTCCCTTCCCCCACAGTTTCTGTTGTTCTTCCCTCTGGGGGAGGGGGCTCTTATGTGTCGATCATTGTGATGGGTTCCTCCTTCCTCCCCTCCTCTCCCTACCTTCCCCCTTCCCTCCTAGTATAACTATTCCCATTCCTGTTCCGGCTTCCGTGTGTCATGAGCTCCTATGTCTTATCTGTACCTGTGCACATACTCCTGTCTAACCTGCAGTGAAAGGCAGTACTGGGGTCATGACAGTGGGGGGTGAGGAAGCCTCAAGGAACCAGAGGAGTATTTTGTGTTTCATCTGTGCTTTACCGCCCCCCTAAGACTCATCCCTTCCCTGCGGCCCCTCTATGAGGAGGATGTCCAATTGTTGACAGATGGGTTTTGGGTCTCTGCTCCGACCCACCTTGTTCTCAACAATATGGTTTATTTGTTAATTAGTTAAGTTAGTTAGTGGTCCTCTGATGCCTGTTACCCGATCCCTGAGACACCTCATGATCGCACAGGCTGGTGTACTTCTTCCATGTGAGCTTCTTGCTTCTATGCTGGAAGGCTGCTTGTTTATCTTCAAGCCGTTAAGATCCCAGATGCTATATCTTTTGATAGCTGGGCACCATCCACTTTCTTCACTACATTTGCTTATGCACACTTTTGTCTTCAGCGATTGTGCCGGAGGGTGAGCATCACAGAATGCCAGGTTGTTAGAACAAAGTGTTCTTGTGTTGAGGGAGGGCGTGAGCAGAGGCCCAAAGTCTGTCCATAACTTCAGTGTATTGCCATATTACTATATGTACATGAATTGGCCTATTTTTAATGTGCTCTAGTATCTATAATCTTCTGCTTTCTCATTGACTGAGGTCTATGTCTTATTTTGTTGTTGTTGAGGTTTTGTATGATTTTCTTTGTATGAAATCCAGGAGAGGTAGTCCATAGAGACAGTAACTGGATTAATAGTTTCTTAGGGTTATGGTAGGGGGAATTAGCAGTTAATGGGTACAAGAATGAAGAAAATGTTCTAAAATGATTGTGGTAATGATTACACAACTCTTTTAACTATAGTTAAACCATTGAATTGTGTGGTACATGAATTATATGCCAGTAAAACTGTTTGTTTGTTTTCTTAAGCTGATGGCAGTGTGAGGGGAAGCTGGGAATGTGAACCGTAACTACTCAGTGGACTCCGCAGCCCTGCCCCTACGTGTCCTCAGTAGCGGCTGCTCTTGCTGACAGCTCACTGCAACCACCGAGAGGCTTCTCACTGGGAGAACGGACTGGGCTTTTCCCCCAGCTCTTAGGAGCAGAATAAGTATCTCCAAGTGAGAGCTCTGGGGCAAGAATTAGACAACGTAAATTTCCCTCCCTTTGCTGCCCATGTGGGCCTTTCTGTTTTCTTCTGCATCAATGGTCCTCCCGGACAGGCCAGCTGTGTATCTCGGTGGCATGTCCACAGCGGAGAAGGAACCTCATCCTTGTCTTCTAAGTCCTAATACCCTCACTCGAGGTTAGACCCTAAGTTCTAACACCCTCACTCAAAAAGAAACAGCCAAACCCACAGCCATCGTAACGATTCTACCTCATAACAACCCCATGTAGGATTTTCAAGGCTGTTAACATTTACAGGAGCAGATAGCCTCATCTTTCTCCCATGGAGTACGTGGTAGGCTTGAACCACAGACCTTGTGGTTAGCAGTCTTTTACTTACTCAAAAGCGCCACCAGGGCTCCTTCTACCCCAACAAGGACTCCAGCTATTGAAATGGATTTATGCAGAGAGCCTGTAGTCAGAAGGATGCAGCAAATGGGGAAATACGCCTGCAAAGAATATAGCAGGGTACCGTGTCCTCTTGCTTAGAACTCATTTTCCTACCAAAAGTCTCCTCTTCCAACTCCTTCTCTACCTGGCACCCTAAGTGATCTTCCTTAAATACCTTCCACATGTCAACACACCTCCCCCTGCTGACAAGTGTTCACCGCCTGCCTCTTTTCTTGCCTCCTGCAGGGGTCCCAAAGGGTGTGCTTACATCGAAGAGGGTGCACAAGCCTGCCAGTGGGAGGGGGTTGAAGCATCCTAAAATTTTTTAAATATCTACTTTTTTATATTCATATTGCTAATCATAGAAGGTGTTTATTTAAATATGGTACTATTGCCAGAAGAATAAGCATCTGTCTTGGAAGAAGTATCATCAGAATGGTCCTGAGAAGCACGGATGGCGAGACTTTGTCTCACATACTTAGTCCATATTATCAGGAAAGGCTAGTCCTTGGA